CCCCCCCCTGGCTCATTCTAGACCCCACCCCTGCCAGGATGGGATCACTGGGAAACACTACCTTAGACTGATCTCTGGATTTTTCCCTGAGTAATCTGTATTTGTAGATCGGTAGCAGTTTTATGGATGGAATTATGAAACCCTAAAATTAAGTGTTGCAATTCCTAACCTCAGTCTCAGAAACCCTAAGGAATAGTTGTGTTCTAATAGGGTCACCATGAGTCAGAATCCATTCAAGGATAATAGGGATGGAATGGGGAAATGTATGGTTATAATTCTGTTGGGAATATGTTGTCTTTTTTATGCTAATGCAGCAGGAATTGGTGTATGGTGTGTCTTGAGACAATCTCTTGATATATAATAAGTTGAATAAACTCGCAAACCTATTCAGAAATGCCAACTCACCCAAAGACTCAATGAGAATGAGGACCTTCCTCAAGAGCCAGCAGTAAAAGAAAGCTCCCTTAGAGCTGGCACCCTGGATTCAGAGTTCTAGCTTCCTAAACTGTGGGAAAGTAAATTTTTTTGTTAAAGCCACCAACTATCACAGCAGAAAACCCGTCGTCTTTGACTGAGGAGGACACTGAAAGGAGGAAACGTACCTCCTGAAATTCCACTGATAGGAAACAGACCAACAGCGCTACATCTGTTGACTTCCAAGGAAAAAGAACCATCCCTGAGATCGACCAGAAGGAGCACAAGAAATCAAGTTGTCTCAGTCTCAAAGGGTGTGGGGCTATACTTGTGGGGGTTGAAAGGGTAGGACCATGGTCTCTTGAACTGATCAGAGTTGCCCTCTCAGTGGGCCTGGAAAATGGAACTGAAGGCCAAGGAGCCTCTAGCCTGAATTCAGAGAGTATAGTCAACACCCAGTGTCTGGAGGCTAGGGCCATTGCCTAGATGGCTTAAATTATTCTGCTGGATATTTTACTTGTTTAGTATCAGTCATCCCATCTTCCCCTCCAGTTTATCCCATTTATAGTGGGAACGTCTTTCTTGTGCCTATTCCATTGTAGTGCTCTAGAAATAGATAATTTGCAAAAATGAGGAGCTGATAGCAAGGGCTCAAGTAGAAAGAAAATGCTTTGAAAATGATGATGGCAACATATGTACAAATGTGCTTGACACAATGGGACATCTCTGTGATAAGAGATGGAAGAGCCCCCAATAAAAGTATTTAATTTGAGCTTGAGGGGGCGGGGCAGCATTAAAAAAAAGTATTTAATTTAAAAAAATAGATAATTTGAGTTCTAAATCTCCCAGGTTCAATTGTATGATATGTGGATTAGGTACCAATAGAAATGTAAAATATATAAATAAGTCTCACGGGCCCCCAAAATCAAGGGGAATTTTGGCTCTGAGTTTTGAACAAGCCGTTTTTCTTAGGGTCCATCAAGTCAGGGAAATTGAGTCCCCGTCTGAAGAACTCCATTCTAAGACTAGAAGTTAAAGTGAGCTGCCAAGCAGCTGATAGACTGTCTTGTGATGACCAACTGAGTCCACTCGGTAGTGGACGTGGAGAAGGTAACATTGGTGAAGAGACTGGCTGAGTTTGGATGTGTTCCATTGGCACCTATTGACCTAACCTACAAAGGCTAGGCAATGGAGAGGGAGAGATTGGCTGTGTGCTGCTCTGAAATGCAGGGAGGTGTGAGGATTCCCAACTGTACGGCTGTGACCTAGCCAACAGTGGGTGGGGACAAACTTACCAGAACCTGATAAATGAGAAAGATGGTGGACACCAAGAGCTGGCAAAGATTGCTGCAATATATCATGGCTAGCTCCCAACTAGGCTTTGTTTATAGATGCAGATGTTCAAAGTTCAACTGAAACTGAAAGAGATTGTAGACTTGGAATAGATTTAAGCTTTTGGAGTGATATGTTGGGGTGTTTTACATGTGGCAAAGACATGAATTTTAGGGGTACCAAAGTTGGACTATCATGGATTGTGGATTGAATTGAACTCCTCTAAAAATACATGTGTCAACTTGGCAGGTCCATGATTCTCAGTTGTTTGGCAATTGTATAATGATGTAGTTTGGCAGTTACGTAATGATGTAAGTTGGCGATTATATAATGGTGTAGTCATCCTGTATTGTAAATCCTATAAAGTCGTATTAGGGTTGGGTGTAGCTCGATTTGCACTCTCTTAAGTATCACCTTCCTGAAGACACGCCCTTGCATGAGTCAGCTTTTATTTTACAAGAGTAGGAGGGACTTCAATAGGTGGGATCTCAGTGCTATCAAGAGAAAGAACCAGAAGTGGATCTGGGCCCCTGAGCTGAGAAACTCTTGGGCCCAGGGAAGATTGACAGCAAGATAAATGTTAAAAGCAAGCAATGGCCTTTCCCTCACAGTTGACAGATAAGAAGCCTTCCCGTAGAGCCAACACCCAGAATTTATCTTCTATGATGAATCATGAAGTTCCTGAACTATGAGAGAATAAATTCTGTCTGTGAAAACCATCCACTTGTGATAGTTCTGTTTATAGCAGCACTAGATAAATAAGACACTAGGATACCTGCCTCATTGCTGGTCTTGGATTTGTTTTTTCCTTAGGAAGCAGCCTCAAAGTTGTCTAGTTGCATTTCATCAGGATACTGAGATTGCCCGTTACTTTTTACCACTGCTGGGATAGCAGTGGAGAACAGGGAGAGCTCAGTTTCCCTGGTTGATACTGTGCATTAGTTGGCACCTATTGGACTGTAACCTGTGTTTCTCATTGCTCTTGTAGGAATTGGGAGCAGTCTCTCTGGATGGCTACTTTCATCTGTGGAAAGCTGAAAATACACTGTCTAAGGTGTGATTGATGAGCCATAGTAACTTTACCTGATATTTCACTGTCTGGTGAAAATACTCTACTTCTCCTTGACCTTTCTCATTGTCTGAAACCCCATTTCTCCAAAGGGAATATAAATCTCTGTCCCAGTCTGATGGACCTTTCTTGAAAGGAAAATGCCTGCAACGTGATTACTGAGGCTGATTCCTTCACATGGAAAAGGCTGCCTGAGAGGCTGTTTGAGTTAGTTGGCCTTCAGTCCACAGAAATTACTGACTCCTCACCATGCTGTGTGGGTGGAAACACCCAAGGAATAACCACTGGCGATTGAAGGTCAACTAAATTAAGATAGACCATCCCTGAAGTTAACCATCTAAGCTAATACAAATGGACTTAGTTTACAATATTTTCCATCAGTTTTTGCAGAGAGTTAAACATATACAAGAGTCTTGCCCTCTTTTTATCCCAGAGGCCTTTGCTTATTCTTTAAGAGTTCTCGTTAGAGAAAGGCAGGGTTCAAGCAATAGCGATTTTTTTGTGTCACAGCCTCTGCCTCCCGTGCGGTTAGGCAACCATGAGGATTTGCTGAATGACAAGGAGCAAGCCTAAGACCACTGGAGGTTTTCCGGGATGAGTCAGTACTGGGAGTGTGCTCTCCCTAGAATGTGGTTTCCACCTTGACCTGATGAACATTGAGGAGGGTGGTGGGTCTTTCCAAGGGAACAGGCTTTAGTGCCCTGAGGCTAGCTCTGGAAGCAATCCCTCTCCTTCTCTACCTGAAGCTTTGTCTGTTATCACAGTCTCCCTCTCTTCAGTGCCTTGGTCTGTTGCATGGCTGGTGTGAGGGAAACCCTCAGAGGTGGGAGTCTGGAAACACTGCCCCCTTAGGCTCTCTGATGATACCAACAGGTTTCTTTCATCTGTTTTCAGCTTCTCTCCACCAAACTGCCATATTGCCGTGAGAATGTCTGTCTGGCCTACGGTAATGAGTGGTCAGTGTATGCAGTGGGCTCCCAAGCACACGTCTCCTTCTTGGATCCACGGCAGCCGTCTTACAACGTCAAGTCCGTCTGCTCCAGGGAGCGAGGCAGTGGTAAGAGTGCTGAGGTGCTGCTCAGGCCCCAGTTGCATCACAGAGGGGTTTTAACTGTAGGTGTCAGTGTTGGTATAGCCCACAAGGTTCTGTGTGGAACGGCTGGATATGTGGTGACTCAAACCTGCAAATGGCCTGGGTTTCAAAACGCCACAGGCAAATGTGTGGTCACGGAGACCAGCAGTCAAATGACTAATGGTTTCCAGGTTCCTTCACAGAGCTTTACATATGTGTCTCGTAATTCTTTCTGGGGCCCTGCTGGAACTAAAACTCCGCTTATGCTAATCAGTCATGTTGTTGAGGTGTGGGAAGGAATTATTGTGATTGTGCTGATGATGTCTTGGATATTTGACATGACAGAGAATACTGCAAATTGTATACTGCAAATACGGGCAGCATGTTGTATGTCAGACCTCAGTAAGCTGAACAAAGTGTTCAGTTTAGTTCTGGCTAGTGGGTGGCTATATTGGAGGAAGAAGTAAGGCCAATGAAACCCAGGATTAATGACCCTACAGGGACAGCAAGTTGAAAAAGGCGTTCAAGGGGAGGGGGTGGGTTACAGTGTTGGTGGTGGAGTGAAAGGAGGACGATGTCAAGGAGTGCATGTAGAAAAAGAATGTTTGGAAACTGATGGTGGTAGCAATTAGACAGTTTTACTTGAAGTGATTGAAAAATGGAATGATTATGTTATATGTATTAAATCCCAACCAGTGTTTTTTTTTTTAATTAAAAAGAAAAGACAAGGATGGCAAGACTTTGTCTTAGATACTTTGGGCGTGTTGTCAGGAGAGACCAGTCCCTGGAGAAGGGCCTCATGTTTGGTAAAGTGAAGGGGCAGCAACAAGGAGGGAAGTCCTGCAACAAGATGGATTGACACTGGCTGCGACAACATGGGCTGAGGCACGGGAACAATTGTGAGAATGGCCCAAGACGGGGCAGTGTTCGTTCTGTGGTGCCTCGGGTCACTATGGGCCAGAGCCGACTCAAGGACACCTAGCAAACGAGCAAAACAGTGGAGGACTTAGACCACTCAGCCTCCATCTTTTACAGCATGTTCTCCTAGAAAGTGGCCTCGTTGTCAATGAAGGAGTGGCACTTTATTGGAGGGAAAAAGACGCTTGGGTTTGTAGTGTACTTGAAGGTTTCAGAACGCCACCATTGCTATCACCTCACTTCATCCAACCAAGACCGCAGTGGAAAGCACTTCAGAAAATGAATGTGGACCCCACGTTTGGGGTGCGATTGAAGCCCCAAACATTGTATAATCTGGCCAGTGTCTTACAGCCTGGTGGGAGAGAAATATTTCCTGAGAGCCTTAGCAGATATGATGTGGATCCCAGTTGAATCACAACTTGTCAAGAAGCCTGTATTCCTGGGTTATTACAAAAATGACTTTTCTCTTTGGATTTACTTATTTTGAATTATACTGAGACCCTCACATTTTGAAACAGAACAGTATTTGTAATGAGTAGGAGTCAATAGGTTTGGCTGGACAGTGTGTGTGTGTGTGTGTGTGTGTGTGCTGGTCACTGGTACTGGAGGAGCTTACCTCCATCATGTTTTCAGGCATCTTCCAGGCCTGTGTACTTGATACACAGGTGGAACCAATGTGTTTTTAATTGTGGTGCAAATTGATATGACAAAACATTCACCAATTCAACCGATTTTACGTGCACAGTTGAGATAGATACATTTTTCCTTGTGATCTGAGTGATCAGATGACTGTCTAAAGTGAGGCAGTGCTCCTTTGGGTGCAGAAGTGCTGCCTGTTAGCCTCCCTCCTAGCACTTGCACGGTTAAAGACGCCTTGAGGTACCATGGTACTGATTGTAGAGCAGGTCCAAGGAAATTCTTAACGATGTAATGGTTTGTGCCCTGATTTGCAGTATACATTGGAAGCACAATAGAAAAGAGCTTAGAATTATGGAATGATGACTCCAGAGTCAGTCTGGAGGAGGCAAGGAAAATTTGGGGTATGCTTTCCCTTGGGGCTGAAAGTGTCTCATCCGCAAGCACTAGTACTCCTCCACGGCTTCACAGAGAGTTCCTGTTGGTGTGTGGATGGGCACTATGGTATCAGGCTTCCCTTTGGCTTTTGCTGGAGCTTCATCTGTGATTGGAAAGGGTGCCATGGGAACATGACACTGGAGAAATCAGGCCAGCAGACTCTCTGGCCTCCCACTCCCTTACTGCTTTTCTCTGCGTCTCAGGGATCCGGTCAGTGAGCTTCTACGAGCACATCATCACTGTCGGCACAGGGCAGGGCTCCCTGCTGTTCTACGACATCCGAGCTCAAAGATTTCTGGAAGAGAAGCTGTCAGCTTGTTACGGGTCCAAGCCGAGGCTAGCAGGAGAGAACCTGAAACTAACCACTGGCAAAGGCTGGCTGGTGAGTAAGCCCCTACCTGAGATGCTTACGGGACAGTGACCGAAAAGTTGTCTGCACTCTATACCCCCAACCTTGCTGGCATTCATACTCAGGTGGTTTCTCATGGAGCAGAGAAAGCCAGGTCCTGTCCCTTGGCTTTGTTTTATTTCGTACTTCTCTGTTGTCTGGGAGCACTGAGGCCCAGTGAGGTTCATTGATTGACCAGGACCCCAGCAGGTGGTGGTAGAGCAGGAAGGAGGGGAACCTTCCCCTTGGCCAGTGCTGCCAGTGCGTTCATTACTCAGTAGCTCAGCCTCAGCTGTCCTGAAGACCGTAGGTTTGTACAGCAGTCTTCAGCTGGGTGTCCTCTCTGATGTAAAGTTGGGAAAACTGAGGCCCAGACTCTCCATCCTCCTGGCCCTGCTCATGAGGAGGCCAGAGAGTATTCTTGTCCCTTCCCCGGTTTCCTGTTCCTTAGCCTGGAGTTGCTAACAGATTCTCTTTCTCTGCTCGTAGAATCATGATGAAACCTGGAGGAATTACTTTTCAGACATTGACTTCTTCCCCAATGCTGTTTACACCCACTGCTACGACTCGTCCGGAACGAAGCTCTTTGTGGCAGGAGGTCCTCTCCCCTCAGGGCTCCATGGAAACTACGCTGGGCTCTGGAGCTAAGGACCACTCTCCCCAAATGCAGAGATTTACACTAACTTCCATCCTCAGTTTTCTGGTTTCTTCTTTTGATATTTTTCCTTTTCCTTCTCTCTTTCTTTCAGTTGTGTGAGGCTCTCAAATTTTAGTGGGAACACCAGAGTTTACCTTATGGTTTAGGCATCTGACAGGGAGACGCTCTGAGCAGAAATCTGAAAGGGCCTTTTCCCTTTTGGTAATCAGAATTTTACTTTACTGCCTTTTGTGTTTGTTTCTTACCCAACATTATTATTTGTCCTTGTTTGTATTATTTCTGTAAGTGACACACACTCTCCCCTCTCTGGCGTCCTCTTTAGGCCAACCCAGTCATTCTCACCCTTACTTCACTCTTGAGGTAGGGTTCCTTTATAATTATGTGGTTGCTGTCAGACTTTCTGTGAAAGTTTGGGGGCTGTGTGTGTGTGTGTGTGTGTGTGTGTGGACACGCATGCACTTGAGTGTCTGTAGATACTGTGTGTCACTAAAATTACCTGGAGTGAGAAGTACTTGTAATTAAAATATTTATAAAAGAAACAACTTTATTCATAGAGTCTAGCTTTAGGGCTAGTCTTTATCTTGTTTTTTAAAAGTCTGACAACACTGACTATATGAAATGGAAACAGCTATCCCTTGGGAAAGCCTTTGAGTTCCATTCCAGGCTTCCTGGGGGGCCCCACAGCAGGCCTCCAAAGTGATCCAGCCCCTACCTGTCCTCCCACTTGTTTGTCCCCAGGTGAGAACATGTGTGTGTGCATGTCTGTGTCTGTGTCTGTGTGTGCGCGCGCACTTGCTTGTGTGTCACTAGCACTTCCCCCACCTCCCGTTTGGTTAGCCATTGGCCCCTCCCCTAAAACGTCGTGGTCTCCATCCCTTGCAGCTGTGCGGTGAGTCGAAGGCTTGGGCACAGTCTGTTGGCAAAGAGAGTCTCCATCTCAGACATCCACCACCCCTCCAGCAAAACCTGATCTGTTCCCGGGGCCTTGGTCCAGGGGCCTCTAGTTCTCTAAGGCTCTCACATACTCAGTCCCCCAGTCTCCCCAGTGGGTTTTGCTTTTGTTTTCTAAATTGATTTCCTTTCGGGAGGTTGGGGGTGTGGCTGTTTAGAGTGAGTGCCTCATGTGTGTGGAGTGTGTTTTCTCGATGCAGTGGGGTGGGATTGAGGCCCTCCTTTCCTCCCTCTCTCCCTTCCTGTTGGTGCAGCTCTGGAGTGGTGGTGGGGTGACCTGCAGCCAGCGACACTGTGCATGTGACGGCATTGATGTGATAATATTGTGTCTGTTCCTCCCTTGAACTATCTGTGTAGGCTGAGGTTTTTAAACTCGCAGGCAACTGACTGACCATGGTGTCCAGTTGTTCCCTGCTTTTTACGCATCGTGTTGCAGATAACAGCTGTTCCCTCCCACAAATTCCTCCTCTCCTCTAAGCACATACACTGTGTCTCTGTCAATAGCCTATCCTGGAGAAAGGAAAAGTCCTATTTTTATGCTGGCACCCCCGCTTCTAAACCACCCTCCCCTGCCGCCCCCCTGCTGTGGGGGCCAGTGGGAGAGTGGAATGAGGATTGCACCCTGCTGTGGTTGGGGCTGCAGGGAAGTCCACCCTGACTTGGTGGAAGGAGGCAGGCACCACTGATTCTGATTCTCATCTTCTAACCTAGAGAAATAGGTGCTATCCACAGGGAATTAAGCAAAATGCTGGATGCTATCGAGCTTTTAATTGTCTTAATTTTTATTTCTATTAAACTACAAGCTGTAGATTTCTTAGTTCTCACAGAACTTCTATTATTTTAAACCAACTTGTATATTGAAAAACAAAAACAAAAAAAAACCTTCAGTAGGATGTTTTGTACTGTTGCCCGACCCTCTTCTGTGATGGGTGATGCGTTTGATTGTTTGAAATTTTCTGTTTTTAAAAATGTAGCACTTGACTTTTTGCCAAGGAAAAATAAATATTATTCCAGAGCCAAGTCGATTGAGTGTTTCGCCAAGAGGATGCAGAAAAAGCCCCTCGAGTACTGGTTGGAAGGGGGTTGAGGGGAGCTGAGGGTGGAGCAGGGGGGCGGGGGGACGGGACAGGAGTTCCTTGTGCTTGGACGCAGGTCAAGTACAGAGAAGTAAACAACACCTGCTTGTCCCTTATCCCCAACCTTGGCCCAAACTGAGGGTGAATATGCCCAGGGGGAGTGGTTTGGTACCTGGGAACAAACGAACAAACAACACGCTGAGGCTGGAAAGCTGTGGATCATCTTCACTCTGACTGTGGATGCTGGACCGGCATCGGACTCCTTTACATACATCAGGCATGGTGGTGATTGCCGTCCAGAGAGCCTAACGTACTGAGAGTGGTTGCATGGTGCCCTGTTAACGGGCTATTTTCTTTTTGTTCTGGGGGGGAGGGGAGTTGAGGCCATATGTCCTCTCATATTCGCTGCCCTCAAGTTGATTCTGAAACTGAAGACAGTGCCTGTGTGGGTCATCAGCTGAAAGGCAGGCAGGCTGCTGGATCAGACCACCCTCCTCACACCGTCATCTCTGCTAGGCCATGGGGCCGATTCCTCTGCCACATGTCACTTGTTCCTCTACAATGCAAGCTAGACACAACTGCCCTTTGCACCTGCTGTAGGGACTGGTTCCGAACAGAGACCTGCACGATCAAAAGCGACAAGGCAAGAAGTGGGGGAAGGTGACGGAATGGAAGGCACTGGCACCAGCCTTGCCCAGTAAAATCATGCATCCCGAAATGCTGAAGAAACGTTCTGTGAAATGAGATGTTACATGAATTGGACCTTGTGCGAAACCTTTATTGTACTCTGATCCTGCTTTCCCTCTCAGTATCTCAAGCATCTTTTCTTAGCAGTGCTCATAAATGTACTGATAAGGACTCATTTTTTTGTATGAACTTCAACCCATGCTATTAACAGTTTCTCATCTGAAGCAGGCCCTTTTCACGTTTTCATTAGCCTTAGCTTTTGGTGAAGCCAGGCATTTTACCAACAGAATTGTCACATCTATTTTTGTAGAGTGTCGGGATTGTCAAGTGTGAAATGCTTAAATTGCCATCAGTAGCTTTCACTAATTTTCCACCTTGTTTAGTCAACCTTTTTCTTCCAAATCAATAATACTCTCTTGCCTCCTGCTGCTGCATTCTCTAGCATGGGTTTTGCCCTGTTTGGAAACCAGAGTACACTTAGAGTAATCATTTTGAACACGGAAACTATCACACTGAAGAGATGTGTCCTGTGATTGGTGGCTGCTGCTTACAAGGCAAAGCGTACTATACAGGTCACTTTTTAAGTAGAAAATACAGGATAACAAATGCATAAACCAGGAATGGGCATTTATTAAAGCTTTCAAGGCATTTATATTACAGGTTATGTATGTTCTGAGCCAATCCCACCTGAATTTTGTGAGGCCATATCAGGAACAGATTGGAGGCTTTGAAACTTAATGACAGAAGCCCTGATGAGCTGTGGAAGAACATCATTCATGAAGAAAACAAAATCATTAAAAAGACAGCGAAGAAAAGATCAAAGATGTCAGAAGAGACTGAAACTTACTCTTAATTATGAGTAGTCAAAGCAAATGAGAGGATGAAGTCAAAGAGCTGAAAATCAATTTCAGAGGTTACCTATTGGAACATGTAGATTTTTATCTCCTTACACTGAATTGTAATGCATACTGAAGGCTCCAATCCTTGATCTTCCATCAGGAAGTGCTTGAAGTCCTCACTTTCAGCAAGCAAGGTTATGTGCCTATCACAGGTTGTTAATAAAGACTTCCTCCAATCTGGATGCCACATTCTTCATATCCTACAGTTTCTCTGCTTAGTTGCCCAGCATGCATATTGAGTATGATGAAAGGATACAGCTCTGATGCACACCCTTAAAACCATGCAGTATTCCCTGGTTCTATTCCCACAACTGCCTCGATCCATGTTCTGCATGAGCACAATGTGTTCGGGAATTCTCATTCTCAATGTAGTCATGATGAACACTGGGTGACCTAAAATGGTCCCAGCACTAATCCATAATTCAAAGTAAGGATCAAGGAGTTGTGAGCATACTCAAATGGTTATCCTAAGGCATCTTTGCTATGGACAATATCCTGAATTTTCAAACTCAATTTTGGCACAAAGTTAAAGCACACACCCACTGAAAAGAGGACCAAGAAAGCTTATAAAACCATGTAATTTCACAAACTGCCCAACTCAAAACTATGCCATAAGAAAAACATACTAATTACTTACTAAAATAGTCCTACAAAAACCATGTGGTAGTTGGGGATTATGTCAACAGTACGCTCCTAGGTAGAAATGGAGTTACGCCTGTCAAGTTGTAGTGTGATGACTCCTCGTGGAGTATATGGCGTTTGGTGTAAAAGAAATGGACTCTGGGAACTACTAGTTCTCTGTTACTTCTCCTTTCATCTTCTTGGAACTCTGCCTCAAGGGCTGCCCAACACCAACAGCTGCTGGTGACTGGCCGTGTTTCCACTGACTGGGTCTACATGACTCTCTACTTGGCTTATGATCTTCCTGCTTCCCGTCCATCATTCTGTGTCACCACGTGGCTACCTAAGTCTGAAGAGGGACTTGCGGATTAGCAGCAGACTTATGGACTTGAGCTGGACTGAGCTGGGATGCCTTCTTGATACTTAATTATTTGTTGATCTATATTTCATATGTAAAATGAAAATTTCAAAGGGCAGCTCAAAAAAAAATCCAAATAGCTTCATGAAATGTGTAAAGACCTGGAATTAGAAAAACAAAAGGGAAGAACATGCTCTGCATATCTTAAACTGAGAGAACTTAAGAAAAAAATCCCAAGCCTTGACTTGAAATCTTCAAAGATCCTATGGGTAATATTTTGAATGATGGAAAGAATATTCAGTCACTGCACCAAAAAGAATTAGTCGACATTCTACCATTTCAGGAGGTAGCTTATGAGCAAGAACCAATGGAGCTGAAGGAAGAAGTTCAAGCTGCACTGAAAGCAATAGCCAAAATCAAGACTCAAGGAATACCAGTTGATAGAATATCAGTTAAAATGTTTCAGCAAGCTGATGAAGTACTGGAAGCATTCACTCGTCTTATGTCTGGAAATTTGGAAGACAACTACTTGACAACTGACTGGAAGAGATCCATATTTGTGTCCATTCCAAAGAAAAGTGAGCCGACAGAATGTTCAAGCTATAGAACAGTATCACTGATATTGCATGCAAGTAAAATTTTGCTGAAGATCATCCAATAACAATTGTAGCAGAACATTGACAAGGAACTGCCAGAAGTTCAGGACTCATTCAAAAGAGGACATGGAACAAGGGATATCATTACTGATTTCAGATAGATCTTGGATCAAAGCAGAGAATACCAGAAAGATGTTTACTTGTGTTTTTATTGACTGAATGCATTCGAGTGTGTGGACCATAAAAAAACTATGAGCAACCTTGATAATAATGAGAATTCCAGAACACTTCATTGTGCTTAAGAAGGACTTGTACATTTATCAGGAGGCAGTTGTGCAAACAGAACAAGGGAATACTGCATGGTTTAAAATCGGGAAAGGTGTATGTCAGGGCTGTATCCTTTTATCACACTGGCTTAATCTGTATGCTGAGCAGTTTTTCAGAGAAGCTAGCTTACATGAAGAAGAGTGCCGTATCGGGATTGGAGGAAGGCTTATTAACAACCTGCTATGAGCAGATGATACAACCTTGCTTGCTGAGAGTGAGAACTTGAAGCACTTGCTGATAAAGATCAAGGATTGTAGCTTTCAGTGTGTGTTATGACTCAATGTAAAGAAGATCAACATCCTCACAACTGGACCGATAGGTAACATCATGATAAATGGAAAAACGGTGGAAGTTAAGGATTTTGTATTGCTTAGATCCACAGTCATTTTTTATGGAAGCAGCAGTCGAGAGATCAAAAAATATGCTGCATAGGTAAATTGCTGCTATTCTAAAAAAAGACCTTTTTACAATATTGAAAAGTAAGGTTGTTACTTTGAAGACTAAAATGCCCTTGATGCAATCCATAGTTTTTCCATTGTCTCATAAGCATGTGAAAATTGGACACTGAAGAAGAATCGATGCATTTGAATTGTGGTGCCAGAGAAGAATATTGAAAGTACCAGGGACTGCCAAGAGAACAAATTAACTGTCCTTGAAGTAGTACAGCCAGAGTGGTCCTCAGAGCAAGGCTTCATCTAGCATACCTCACATTGTCAAGAGAGACCAGTCTCTGGAGAAGGACATCATGCTCGGTAAAGTGGAGGGGCAGCGAAGGAAAGGAAGGATGGACACAGTGGCTGCAACAATGGGCTCACGCAGAGGAACAATTGTGAGGATGGCGCGGGACCCTGCAGCGTTTCATTCTGTTGTGCAAAAGGTCGTCATGGGTTGTAGCCAACTCAGTGGCACCTACCAACAACAACAATATGTTCTGTACCATTATACACCTGGCTGCATAATCACTTGGTGTACAAAAGACTCAATAATGTGTTGCATGTTGGGGAAAAAAAAAACACCCTCACAGTCATCAAGTTGATAGCAACTCAGTAGGACAGAGTAGAACTGCCCCTCTGGGTTTCCCAGGCTGTAAATTTCAACAAGAGCAGAAAGCTTCATCTTGCTTCCTTTGAGGGGCTGTTGGTTTTAAAACTGCTAATCATGTGATTAGCAGCCCAACTCTAACTCACTATGCCACCAGGTCTCCATGAACTCTATTATTAAATGGGCATATATGCACTAGAACATTGCCAGCACAGTGTTGCTAGAACGGACATTATATGGCATATAACGGTACGTGCTTTCTAAAATATGAGATCCATGGGACATTAATTGATATTTGTAAAATATTCCCTGTCACCTGATCTGACCCCACCACACAGGCAAAACACAAAGGGTGTGCAACAGAACAGCAAGGGGAACAGAGCAATAAAGTCCTCGGGAGATACTGTGGGGCCAA